GGGGGGGATGTTTTCAGACAATGGAAGCATGGAGAGAAGCAGAGTTTATACTTCCCTTTAAATTCCCGCTCTCCTTGCTTTAAAGGAAATTGCTGGCGACTGAGTTGTAAGACTGGGATGCATGCAGGGTGTGCTGATAACTGAGATGAGATTGTAAAGGGGGAATTCTTAGCTAATGCTCCCAGTGCTACGCTTGGGATTGTAACTGGGGGCTTCCTAGCTAATCTGCTGAACGGCTACGCCAGATTTCTCCAACCTTGTGCCCTCTGATGTATTGGACTGCAACTCCCACAAGTCCCATTGGTAACTGGGTTTGCTGGCTGAGAATTATGGTAGTTGCAGTCCAACACTATAGAAAAATACAAGGTTGGGAAAAACTGTTACAGTATGTCACTGCTAGTTACAGGGAATGACAAGATGCTAAGCAATGCACTGAAACTCGATCTCTGACCCTGAAAAAGCTTCATCTCCTCCTGCCTCTGACATTTCATTACCATTTCCCACAAACTAACAGATCTACTTTTATATTCTCAGAAGCTAGAAGCATCTTTTGAAAATAAAAGGCAAAGTTTCAGGGAAGCTGATTTCTCCATTTCTGTACTTACATGGTGTGATGACAGAAATGCAGACACCACACAGTTCTGTTTACAAAATGGGACTACAATATGGAGAAATGCTTGGCATTGTGGTAGCTTAGTAGAGCTGTGGGTTGATGAGAGGAAGATGGACTGTAGCTTGTGAGAAAGAGTTGGACTGGATCAGTTTCAACTCCCTTATCGCTCTGTGATTCTCTGAGGAGCTGAGGCCCTGGGATGCAGGCAAAATCACTCCATGAAACATTGCAACTGCCATGTTTACAAAGGGCAAATCCATTCAGAATGAGCAATATACAATGGTAAGCAAGATGGTAACTTACTCATCAGGCCGATTTCATGAGATCTGGAGAAAGCACAACAATAACAGGCACAGCTTGGCCTACAGCATGCCTTATAGCAGCAGTAAAAACTTGATCAGGAGGGTGTGTGTTGTGTTTATAATCATTTTCCTGTTCATGGCCCTTAAAACTGCCCATGTAAGACCTCCATTCATCCATTAGCCCGGCATGAAAGGGTTTTGTTTTTGCTGTCTTTATTAAATATATCAAGTTGATTACGATTACCAGTCATTTTCATTTTGCCCATCCTGCGGTGGCTTCCCCATTGATGTAGGCAAAGCCAGGAAAGTGTTGCATGTGCTCATATTCGGAATTTCTCCGTGTGGTCAGTGGTGCATACATGTCACTGGAGTTCCCATATCTTGCCGAGTGCATGGGTGGACTTGAGTAGCAAGCATTTGCTGAGGGGATCTCTGGCCAGCGAGGAGTCACCGGGGTCGGATGCAGCCTTGGAGTGCTGCTCATCAAGCAGGGCTCCATCCGTGAAGACGGGCTGTTGAAGGGGTACTAAGGACATGAAATCACATTGTAAAAAAGGTTAGGCATATATAGGGAAGGAAAATCTAAGCTGGATCAGGACTGTTGCAGTGGCAAGACTCGAACAGGGACTCTGTCAGGACCTCTTTGGCTTTTAACAGGGTGCAGTCCAAAGTCACAAGAAACATGAGGCGGACATCAGAGGTGGCCCGTGACAGTTTAGACTGGTATGCAACAAATCAACTCTTCCCTCAAGCCGTCAAATACCTAATAATAATAAATACTAATATTAATACTAAGGCTTTACATCATTATAATTTACTTATTCTGTTAAATTGTAAACCTATAATGGCACATTGCATCCTGAAAGTATAATTGTAATTTAGCTGAACACTGTGCTGGCACAGACTGCCTGCTGGCCCTCTTATATAGTCACATTATGATTCTGTGGTGCTTGGAGAGGGGCCAGGACTTATTGCAAGCAATCTCAATTTGGGCCAACTTTTTTTCCCCCCATTTCCTTTATTTTCTGAGACTTTTTGGCAACTAAAGTGAAAAAAACAAATGGTCCTTCCCATTAAATATAAATATAATTAAACAACTGACACTGATGTATTCTTTAAAGTGTTCCAGTTATGTTCTTGAGGTTAGTTTGTTACTTCACTACCAAATAGGTTTCGCTTCAGCCCTCAGGCGGGAGCAGCAGCTCTACAGAGGGCCACTTGGGCTGAGGATACAATCAGCCTGACTCTGAGGGGCTCCTTCTCTTGTTCCTTTTCCCAACAACAGATGCTTTGCACAAATGATAAAACTTTGAGATCCAACAAGGGAAGCTGAGTCTCTTGCTTAGCCCTCCCATAAGCTAAAGCCCAAATCCTGCAACTGTACCAAGACAAGTGGTAAAACAGGACAGATAAAAGCACAAATGCAAGCCGCATTGTATGGAAGTCTTAGTGTAAGGGACAATCCTTTTTATCCAGTTCTTTCAATTTAAAAACTGGTTGTATGCACCTTTTCTTTTTCTGCAAAAGAACAAAAATATGTTTCTATGTGGAGGACAATGAAATGGGTGTGAACAAAGCAAACAAGGTGCATGCATTCTACTTTTTAAAATGTATATATAAAACTAGGAGAT